CTGCAGCCTCCGCCACCCGGCACAGTCCCAGTTCGGGCCTCGGGGCTCCGCCCCGGAGAGCTGCGCGCGCGACCTGGCAGGCCTGGGCCTTTTGTGACGCTTCCGGAGCTTGAGAGTGTTGCTTTCCCGACTCCCGCCCGGTAGCGGGTCCTGAAGGGGTGGTGGTGGTGGAGGGCGGGGGCAATCTGCTTACCTCGCCCGGGGCCACATCCCCTACAGTCGGCCCGCTTTGGCTCCCACTCCTGCGGGAAGTAAAGCTTGGAGGGCGGAGTTGGAGTTAGAGAATCTTCCCGAGCCTTAAAGCCCCTTGACTTTCCTTGCAGGCCCGGGACCGCTGGCCACAATAAATTCATCCCTATGTTCCTTCCGGCGTTGCATTTAGCAGAGGGGCCCACCATCTCCTCCCCCTCTGTCCCCGGTACAACGTCCTGGATGCTGCCTAATTGCAGTCGTTAAGCAATAGGAACGTAGCAATAGGGCCCTCCCGCCGACTCTTGGCAGAAACCCCGGGGGACCTTGGTTGGGAAGGTTTGCATCAGCAGCGGGCCTGTGCTTGTGAGCTTCCCATCCCCACTTGGTGCTGTTCCCTTTGCGGTCCCATGACCAGCACTGCAAGATGACTAAGAGGATCTGGCCATAGGGTTCACCCTTACACACAGGGAAAGAACTCTCAAGGAAGAGGCTGCAGCTGGAGTGATGATATTGCTGTTATCAGAGGCCGTCCACAAACACACTGAACAGCGGTCTCTCTAGATTGTTGATGTTGCTGATGCTGTGTCAGCCTCCCTCAAGGGCGGGGCAAAGAGAGCGTTTAACAACCGGAGCTTCTGCATTTCAGTTGCAGGTGGTCTTGTTATATTTACTGTCTTGCAAATATGGGATAATCTCCCAACTCCCAGCTCATACATGAATTTGGACCTAGGTTTACATCCTTGGGTCTGAACATAAAGAATTAGGGGTTTTTCTCATTTTTTCTTTAGGCATCATGGTGTTTATTAATTATTTAGTGTTTAGCAAAAGAAAAATTGGGTTACGAAAATATAAACAGCTGATTTCCTTGCATCAAAAGAGCATGGTTTGAGATCGCCAGAGAAACTGAATTGTTCTCACACATTTTTTGGTGAGTGCTTTTAGAAATTTGAGGTCTAAGGTTGTTAAGAATTGGGCCAGCAAGTGGCATGGTGATTAAGGGGCTGGACTCCCACAGGGTCGGTCTTGGTTCAAGTCCCAGACCTGGTGGCTTGCTTTCTCACTTTCCTTCTCTCTCTCTCTCTCTGGTTAACTCATGTGAAAAATAATAATGATAATAAATAAAAACAAGTAAATAATTCATTTTTTTAAAACGCAGGGAAAGAAAAACATGTTCCGTGATGAATATGAATTGTGATAAAATAATGAATAGCTATGAACTTTTGAAATGAGTTCACGTTGGAGGCTGGATGAGGAGCCAACCTGCTCCATCAGCAACTGGGCACATGGCGGTGCTGCTTCCTGAGACTGTAACTGCACTAGAGCTCCGCTTGATTTTCAGAAGACCGCTATCCTACATTACCCATGACACTTTGCCCCAAGTTCACAAGTACTTGACCCTAGGTATGTATATGTACATATGTGATTCGTGATTACCAGGGTAAGGTCACTCAGAAGGACAATTCGCACTTCATTCCTCTTGAACGAAACTTCTAAACTGTGAATGTTGTTTCTGCAGGAAACTGTCCACCGGACTGTAGTTCTTCACCCTTTCCATCCTTGAACCACTGAGTTCTTTGGACTCCATATTTTTTAGCAAACAAATTAAGCGATTATCTTTCCATCAGGCAAAAATATAGTAACATGTATTGTTACTATATATATTTTAAAAGTAGTGCCCATGAATTGTAAAATAGTTGTCAGCCTTCTGAACACATTGGTAGTTATTTAAGGATACTTTCTTTTCTTTTTTCAATTTTAAAAGAATTATTTAATTTTATTTATTCATTCATTCATTTATTTTAATTTGACCAGAGAGAAGAGAGAGAGAGGGAAAGTGAGAAAGCAAGCTTTTGGGTCTGGGACTTGAAGCATAGTCGGCCTTTTGGGAGTGTCCAGCGTCTTAACCACCACACCACCTGCTGGTTCCTAAAGACACTTTCTTTTTTTGTTTTAGAGGAATTTCTGCCATAGGGCATGTACACTCAACAGAAAGACAGAGACAGAAAGACAAAAAGTGAGAAATTACCCCCAGGGGGGATGGCCACAATGCAGTCCCTTCTCCACTCTCCTCTTGGGATCTTGGGCACGAACACACACATGTCCAGTGGGAGTTTAAGCCACTGGGTCCAGGACACAAACCGTGGTCAATTACATGGGAGTCCTGCGACATAGCCATTACGCCAACCGTTGGTCCCCTATGCTTTTTCTAACATTTTGATACAGTGTAAATCCTGATACAATAAAGATTACTTCTCCCCAGGTTAGTAGAGGAAATTTCCTCCTTAAAATTCTTTGGCCATTTTTTTTTCATTAACTGAGCATTTACTGATTTACTTAAGCCTTACTTAAGCCTTGTGTTCATAGAGAAATCTGAAAAAATAACCACTTCCTTCTCTATTCGTGTTGTCCAATACTGTACCCACGAGCCACACGTTGCCATCTGTATTTGTGTAGCCATTTATATTAAGTGAAATACCATTTAAACCACATCTTCCCAGCCCACTGGCCGCATTTCAAGTGCTGAAGACCCACACATGACTGCAACTATCTACTTGAACAACACAGAATGGGACATTTCCACTACTGTAGGAAAGTCTTTTGGCTATCACTGCCCTAAATAGGTCATATTTGACTTGGGAGATAAAATATAATGCATAAAATAAAGTGGGAAATGTTAATGCAAGAAAGATAAAACCTCATTAGAAATTTGAGACCAGCTGATGGTGTAATGATTATGTAGCTGGACTCCCACATAGTCAACCACGGTTTGAGTCCTGGACCTGCTGGCTTAAAACTCACACTGGGTGCATGTGTGTGTGTGTGCCCAAAAGCCCAAGAAGAGAATGGAGAAGGGACTGCAGTGTGGCCATCTCCCCTGGAGATTGATTTCTGGCTTTTTATCTCTCTTTGTCTCTGGCAAGCACACATACCCTATAGCAAAAATCTCTCTGGAAAAAAAAAATAGGAATGTGGTAATCTGGGTCAACAGAAGGTATGGCAGTTGAGGCACTGGAGTCCCACATGGACGGCCACAGTTTAAGGGCCAGATCTGGCAGCTCGCTTTCTCACTTTCCCTCTCTCTTCATGTCTCTCTCTCTGATCAGATTAAAAAATAATTAATTTTTTTTTTAAAAAAAGAATGTGGTCATCTTTAAGAATTCAGATTCTGGCTTCAGACTATGGCTCCTCATGTACTGACCTTAGGTAGATTACCTAATCTAAGTTGCTTTATAGGTAAAGTGAAAATGAGAACAGTACTAACTTTAAAGAATGGACATAGGGCTAAATGAAATTTTCTGTGAATAATGTACATAGGCTAAAGTCTAGAATATGGCTGTCAATAAAATGAGCTATTAATGTAAAAATATGTTACTATAATAAAGGTTTTCTCTTTGAAAACTGTATCCCTAGCACCCCTCAGTATATGTAGCTAACGAGAAGTGCTTAATAAATGCCAAGTTAATGATAAAAGGTGATACTGCAGTTCTTTTATGGATATGAGGGCCGGTGTTAAATTTGAAAACTGGCCTTTCTTTCTCTGTTGAAGAGTGGAGGCCAATGTTGGACAATGTCGGTAAAAATGTCATCTCACTTTTCCTGGGATAAGAAACCTTTGTACAAAAAGACATTGGGGTAGATACAGAGAAGCAGAAATCCTTTCCGCCCTTAAATGAAGACAGGAGTCACTTCGCTTGCCCTACCCTTTTTTTGCTCCCCACAGTGCACCAGTGGGAAGCAGCTGGATCTGATTTCAGGTGGCAGGTGTTTTCCCAAATGGCTCTCCGGAGGGTTTGGGTTGGCACTCCAGGGCTTTGAAAAGTACAACCAAACAATAACAACCACCAAATCGGTTCAGTCTTCCTCTTGTCTCTTTAAAAGTAATTCCACAATAAAGAAGTCCGACTATTTCTGTGTTTAAGTACAATACTGGTAACTGCTCATGGAACTGGAGTCCTAGGAATTTGGGGGAGTACTGCTTTAACACTGCACCAAAACAAAAGGCTTCCTGGGTGAGTAATGAGCTTGCAGCTCCTGGAACTCCTGGAACTTCATTGGAAGCTTTCTCTGCAAGGCATCAAGAGATGTGTACACTGGGTGATGAGTCGCGTCTATTAGCACCCATGAAGTTCCCTCTATTTTTTTTTTTTTAACAAGCAGTGATTTTTTTTCGTTAATAAACTAAAAGACTATTTCCAGATGATTCGTTCTCATGTATTCTGCATGCTTTACTTAGTAAGCAAAGCCCGGTGAGGCGAGGCTTCAACTAGTCCTCAGACTCCGACCCTTCTTCATCTTGACTAATCTGGAAGTAATGAAGTTCCTAAGTCTCCTTGTCAGATGCAACCACACGAAGCCAATCACGAGGGTTGTGTTTCTTAAGGTATTTCTTGATGAGGTATTTCAAATACCTTTTAGAGAACTGTTTCTCGGAAACAACTGTGATTTTATTCTTGAGGCATTCAATGTGGACTACATTTCCAAGGTTGCCAGTTTTCCCATTGACTTTAACCTTTTCCCCCAGAAACTGTTCAACATTTCCAGAGTCAAAAATTCCGTCTTCTACTAGATGAGTAAGGTCCAAATTAAACCTGACCTCTTAGGCTTCTTGTCTTTCAGCTCCATCTTGGCAGCTAGTTATGCGGTCAGAAAGTCCCTCTTTTTTTTTTTTTTTTAAAGAATTATTTTCATGGGACCAGCAAGTGGCATGGTGGTTAAGGCACTGGACACTCACTCCCACATGGCCAGTGGCAGTTTGAGTCTCAGTGGTGCCTTGCTTTCTCATTTTCCTCTTTCTCTCTCTCTCTCTGTGTCTCCCTCTGGTCAAATTAAAATAAATGAATGAGTAAATAAAATTAAATAAGTCTTTTTTCAAAAAAAATTTTTAAAGAATTATTTTCTTTAACTTTATTTATTTTAGTTAGGCCAGAGAGAGACAGAGTGAGAGAGAGATAGAGAGGAGAGAAAGTGAGAAAGCAAGATGCCAGGCCTGGGACTCAAACCACGGTCAGCCATGGGGGAGTCCAGAGCTCTTAACCACCACATCACCTGCTGGTCCAACAGTTTACTCTTTAGTGATTGGATCTACCCCCCTCTCTAGCAGGGAGAAACTCCTTTATGACTTAGGCTAGCTGAAAAACAAGAGGAAGTTTCTGCCAGAGTGTATTGAGAAAGAAATATTGACACATACAGGAATGGACTGCCTTGGCGCACCTGTCAGCATGTTCAGTTTATGGCTGATGATTTAGAGTAAGCCCATTAAATGTGTACTTTTATCCACAGCAATTTAAAAATATCTGCTATGAGAGGTTTCCTTTTACTTTGAGACAGTTTCCTTTTGTCTTAATTCTCTATACATTGTTTGTTCCACAGCTTGAAAATTCA